TCTGGCGGTTGGGCGAAGTCTGGCGGTTGGGCGAAAGGGTTTTGATACGAATCGACGGGCGTTTCGCCAAACCGCGACGTTTTTCGCCTTCGACGAAACGCTAGCTCGATCGCCCTGGCGTTTTTCGCCAGCGAAATCGATACGCATCTATTGCTTTTCGCCCAACCGCCGAACCGCGGCGGTTCGGCGAAACTAGCGGTTGGCGATTCTCCGATCGATGACTATTTTTGCTTTTCTCCCAACCGCCGTTTCGCTGATCCTTCTCGTCAGAGCAAACAAGCAATTATAGCGGGAAAGTGGGGGATGGGTCGTACCAGCATCTTTTTCCGGGGAGGGGGGTCATGACACCGCCATTCCACACATCACACTATACCCTGCCCCCAAAAGGGGGTCGTATTTGGTCTGAGAAAAGTTGATTTTTCTTGTTTTACGGACGGTACAAGGGAGGGGGTCGTATTCGCTTCCTGTTGGGGGGAGGCGGGGGGGGTCGTGTTTTTTGAGAGAAATTCGCCCCTCCCGTTTAACAGCAAAATTTGGAGAAAAAAGTGGGGAAAGTCTCCGGGAAATTCCGGAAAAACAGGAAAAGTTTGTCGGAAAATGGGGACTTCTCAGAAATTTTTTGGTAGAATGGGAAAAATGGGGGGGGGGGGCTGATTTCCTCGCGGTTTTTCCCGTTCAACTGTGCTTTGTACTCCCCCCTCCATGGCACGCCATCGTTGTGATAATCACAACAGGTGTATTCTGTAGTTAATTCGGGCATTTATGTACTTATAGAACTGATAACTTCTTTCTTTGCCAAACAGGTTTGTATGGTGGAATACTTTATTTACGCCTGACGTTTCGACAATCTCGTCGTTTTCAAAGGCCTGAAAGCATACCGAAACTCGTTGAATACTATCTATCCTATTCAACATGGGCCCCCTCAACTAGTTGCAACCCAGACTAAGGAACTACAGACGAAAAGGAAACTCCAGCAATAAGTTACCTCGTCAATTCCACCAGCGCCGAAGACTGCACAGCCTGGCAGCAGCGGCGCACGCGAAGCACACCGAGAGTTTTCCCACACAGAGCTGAAAATAAAATACGTTTTCAGCTACCGTTCATATCGGACCACTTTACCGCAGTTATACAACAGTGCCTCCGAAGAGCTGATCTGGCCAACGACGTTCTTTTGGTAAATAAACCAAAGGACAATATCAAACACCAGTTGGTCAGAAATCGCCTCTATGACCGAACCTGCACCATGGAAAACTGCGTGATCTGTCCGTATGGGAAAGTGGGTGACTGTACACAATGGGCTGTAATTTACCAGATACAGTGTTTGACTTGTGGCGCATTATATATCGGTGAAACTGGGAGGCAATTAAGTATACGCGTAAAAGAACACCTGGCTAGCAAAAGACGCGAAAGTTTAGTTGCACCGCTCGGCAAGCATAGGAGGGAAAATCATGGCGGCTGTGATTTTGATGTTAAGTGCACGATACTGGCTCACGAAAATGATGTTGGTGCTAGAAAAACTCTCGAGGCTTTCTGGATAAAGCACCGTAATCCATCTATGAACAACAGGAATGAATGCATCTCAGTGACTGCCGATTTCTTGCCCTACATTCCCACTTTGCGGGCTTTAACAGTGAGAACGTGAATGCACTGCACGTACGCACTTTATCACACTATGGCAGTGCATAACAGTGAGTCTCATTTGCTCCATTGTGTGACGAGAGTTGAGCAAATCTTCGGCGCTGGTGGAATTGACGAGGTAACTTATTGCTGGAGTTTCCTTTTCGTCTGTAGTTCCTTGGTCTGGGTTGCAACTAGTTGAGGCGGGCCCATGTTGAATAGGATAGATAGTTTCCAAAGTTTCGGTATGCTTCCAGGCCTTTGAAAACGACGAGATTGTCGAAACGTCAGGCGTAAATAAAGTATTCCACCATACAAACCTGTTTGGCAAAGAAAGAAGTTATTAGTTCTATAAGTCCCAACAGGGTTTCGTATTTGACCTCGATGGAGGGGGGTCGTAAGCGCGGGCCCTTTCTGAAGTGGGGAGTGCAGCGATACTTAGATGTCGTACAGCTTCAATGATGAAAGCCTTATTCATTCGGTCCCTTATTCCATTGGCCTGGAGTCCCGGTTTAGTTCGTTTTCACAGGTTAACTTGTCAGCAAGCACCAGCATTTATGTAGAGGTAGCGTTGTGGAGTAGGAATCAGGATCTCGCGAAAGACCGCACCACCTTTTCAAAAGGGAACATAACCTGTAAGCAGTTGTATTACGATTTCTAGCCCCTCTGCGGTTCTCTCTGTATTTATTATTTAGCCAGCCTCCTACCGGTCATGGAGGTTCAATGATCTCAAGGCAAACCTTCGAGTGTGCTGAATAGATAAATAAACAAATAAACATCTTCTGTCGGCATCTCCATGTAAAATGTGCTCCGATGATGAAAAAGAATTAGGCGTGGGATTACGGTAGCTGGTTGACGCATGCATTTGCACGCAGAAACAATATGTTTATTTGCATTTTCGCATGTCTTATCTTTGTTGTGGTTTTTGAGTGTCACTTTGAGCTTTTATTAAGTTTTCTTGGTGCTAACGTATTTGGGGGGGACCACGCGGAGAGCGGCGAGTGATGACTCATCAGCTCTTCACTCATAGGCATACTTGAAGCGCGAATCTAGCAGCCAAATTAGAATGAAACAAACAAGATTCACCGGGAACTTGCTGGGAAATCCCACAGAAGCTGAAAACAACAAATATTTGATCTTTTATAGTCAAGAATCAACAAAAAGGCAACAATCGTTTGTATTTTAGGCAAAATCTTCCAGCCTACAACTGTTTCTTCGCACTTTTCAGCCTTAACTGTTTTAGCTTTTGAATATAGCTAGGACGGTGTTATATCCATGTCCTAAACATGAAATTACTTTTTTTGTCATCGCTCGCCGCTCGCCGCGTGGTCCCCCCCCCCAAATACGTTAGCACCGTTTTGCCCCAAATACGTTAGCACCGTTTTCTTTTTTTTCATCGCACTAGTTTGCCTTACTGTGTCTAAAATTTCAGGATGACGGGTAGAGGAGGGTTTCTATTCCTTCTTGGCTTGTTCATATTATCCATGTTCGAGGTTTTCGTGAAAGGTTTGTTCCAACAGTTTACATTGTGCTGTCTAACTTTGACAGTGTACAATTTACGATTTGTCTGTTTATTCATATTTATTCAAGCCGCGCCAAAATAACGCAAGGATAATTTGTATGCTACCAAGTACTTGAAGCAAACAACAAAAAAGAGCGAAATTGCAAAGCCACTTTCATACATGACGACATCGAAGAAATGACGAAAGTGTTGCCAGAAGAAACTATAGGTGCCGATTCGAAGAACCAGACCAGAATCTGCAGAAATGCTCAAATTCCGCAGGATGGCATTTATCCTACTGGTGAGGCTGAGTGATCAGGCTAATGCCGTTTGGACTCCAGCAACTTCGGCACCGAGCTCATTTTTAAATTACCTAAGTCGCCAAACCCGCTGAAAATATGTACACAAGGGTTATTTACCATCCTGATTACAATTATGACACTCATTCTTGGCGCTGGCGCTAATGGATGACACTACGATTACCTGCGCTCCGCTAAGGCTGAGCCCAAGAGGTAATCGTAGTGTCATCCCTTGGCGCCAGCGCCAAGAATGAGTGTCATAATTGTAATCAGGATGGTAAATAACCCTTGTGTACATATTTTCAGCGGGTTTGGCGACTTAGGTAATTTAAAAATGAGCTCGGTGCCGAAGTTGCTGGAGTCCAAACGGCATTAGCCTGATCAATCCCTATCAAATTTCTGCCCGTCATCTCGGCATTTCTGCAATTCTGAATTTCAGCGCTTCTCCATATCGATACGTATACTTTCCTCTATCCATAGTTTCGTCATTTTTCCAAAGTCGTCGTTTACGAATCCGGCCTAGCTTTCGAAAACCTTACAAAGGAAACAGCAAAGAGAGCAAACAGAGTGACTACAACTCTTTACCAACGACTTTGTCATTTGGGCTGCAGTTTGTATTGGTGTGAACCAGTCAGCGGTAATTTTTATATCTGTAGTTCCAGCACATTCTGAAGATGAACACGATGCCGACGAGTTCCGCAAGGAATTTGGAGATGAGCCACAGCATGACAGTTTTAGGTATGCATTTTTTTACGCAGATTGTTCTGTACGGTTATTTTACACAGTGATTGTTCTGTACGGTTTTCCGTAAACTACTTATTATTTTCAAGCCAAGGAACAAAGGAGGAGCACATCGAAGTGCGAGATGGTCCTCAATTTGGTAGTGTCAAGCAAAAACCGCTCGTAAGAAGATCGCTTCCCACTTTGAAATTCTTGTTCTGGTACGATTTTTTATCGCTTTCAAGCACCAGCCATGATAAGTTTTGAAGAAAACAAAATTATCGCTCAACAGTGCAAGCCGGCTATTTGAAATGGCTAAACTTACGTGAATTCGTCTCAGCGACCAATGAAAGTAACGAAATGAGGACACGATTGCATAGTTTTTTTTAGAGTAAACTTGTTTCACAAACCATAAAGGAACCGATCTGAGCGCTAGTTCGCTAAGGGCAGGGGGCTTCTTTGAGGAGCTAGGAGCTGGGCGGAGATCCCGTAGGCTTTCGGGGCACAATCGAGTTTTAGGGTTGGATGAAAATGTCCTCATTCTACTGTACCCTGCAGGGAAAGGGGCGGTGTTTAATGATTGGCGGAGCACGGCTGTGATGGGTGTGACAGAAGCTGCAAATGTTAAACTTTTTTTTGGAAAAAATCCCATTTTCATCGAATTCTGCAAAAGTGGACAAAGCGCACCTTTAATGGTGGAGTTCGTATGTGGTAGGCGGAACAATATGTGACGAGGTGTTAGGCTTATTTGAAATTTTCCAAACAACAACAACAACCAACTGCAATTCTTCAAAAGAACATAGTAATGTCTATAAAGGGTCTAGGCACTCGCTACGCCTGCAGGTTGTTTATGTAATTGTGTAGGACATTATGAAATCGCCCGGCACTTTGGCAGCTGTTAGAAAATGCCTTTTATCCCAGTCCGCTTTGACCGATTCTGTGCTGATGCGAACTTTGTGACAGTCCTTTTTATCTAGTTCTGTATTGTTGAGTGCAGTCGTTCCAACGGGTTTGCTTGAATTGTTATGGGAGATTTTACTTCCTCCAGAATTTTCAATATTTATTATGATTTATTTTGTTTCGCTAAAACTAACAATACGGCTTTTGCAGGCCAATCTTACTGCTTAGTTGTTTTTGATTTCTTTTTTTTTGAATCTAATAAGAGCTCTTTCTATGACAAGTTTTGTCACCTTGACAAATTCACCTTTACATGCAACAAGCGGGAGACGTACAAGACAATCGTAATGCGCGCGGCGGTGCGCGGAAACTTCATATGCATCAGCTCGTCCATTGCAGCACCGACTACTACGAATTGAAGCGGAGACAAGACCGCATGAAGGGCATAACTAATTTTCTTGTTCCTTCAACATTAAAATTCAAGCGGATAGGCAGGGCAACTCGTTCGTCGCACGCGGTTTTGCCCACCACGCCCACTAGCGAAGCATATTACCATCGTCTTGTCACACGTCACAAACCCCAGCAATACATTTTCAACAGTAAGTAACTGAACTCATTAGGTGACATAATTCCTTTAGATGTAGTGGCTTCTTTTGAGATTGTTTCTATTGAGAAGTTTCAGTGTTTCATGCGGTTACAAGCAAGCGTACGAACAGTTCTCGATGGCAGTTCGCGAAAAATATCCCGAAATGCCTATTGAAGGCAGTAATTATCCACCAGCCAAGTGGAAGGAATACCTAGCACATGTGATTATTTACTTTTCTTGAAAAACCCGACACAGGCCACATTTATACATTCCAGGCCATCAACATTCTAAAAATAACTGCAATAGCGGCCATCGTCAGTGGCAGTAATCCATTCCAACTTATCGGCCTTGGCGAACCCTCTATTATGCAGTGGGCTCACTCCAATAAGGTAATGTTGTTTTTGCACAATATCAATGAAAATGGTATTTGTACAGGGTTTTTTTTTAGTATGTTTCACAAATAATGAAGTTCAATAGATCTCAGGACTAAAGCTGCAAGCAGAGAGTCTGCGCACTTGTAATGCGCCTCGGATGTACTCTGGGCTTTTATTCGCGCCTTTGCAGACTAATAAGCGTTCCGCTGCAAGTTCCTCTGTGAGGAGCATTTTTGTGAAATTCTGTCAACATGTTAATATTCGGTACGTTGACAGAGATTGACAAAAATGTCCTCCAAAGGAAATAGCGCCACCTTACCTGTCTGTTGAAACCGGTGCAGTATTTTGGCGTCAAATGAGTCAGTTTATGATGATAGCCTACGTCATATACGGTTTACTTCACGGGCTTGACTAGAATACCTCCACAGTCGACGACCTGCTTCTTTTCGTTTCGGTTTGAGATCGGCACAAAGTCATTAAGTGATCCTCATAGCTTGAAATAGGATGGAACATATGAGAGCGTTCAGACTACGCGATAACTCGTGTCGACGCGCTACAGCTGCCGTAGCGTTCCAAGGCTATGGATGCGAACACGGCCGCAGGCAATAAGCTATCAGCGCCGGCCGCTTGTGCATTGAGAAAGTAAGGGGCAGAAGAGAGTTCGCGTTGCCTAATCACACAATCTGGTATCGATCGGCTTTGGCGCTGGGGCTTTGAGAGAGTAACACAATGTGTGAAGGCAGCGCGTGCCCACATACGATCCTATACTTTCTCAAAACACAAGTGGCCGGCACATTTCCGTCCGCACTGGTTCGCGTTTACAGTATTGGAACGCTGCTGCGAACGTCGGCTTAGGGCTTGGACGCGTTCACGGAGAAGGCTGAACGCTGCTCACGACCGTGAAATGAGTGGTATGGGACATGGGCTGGTACGACGTCATCGATTTAACCCGAAGCGCTGTGCTGGGTTGTCTATCTAGGAAAATTGGCTGGTTCACTCGCGATAACACAATTCGAGTTTCCGAAATAACTTTCACTTTCAGATCTCTGCCTGTATGATGCTGTTCCTATTGACGAACATGGTCGAGAGCGCTCTTATGTCAACTGGAGCTTTTGAAATCTACCTTGACAAGGACCAGATCTGGAGCAAGCTGGAGAGCGGTCGCGTTCCTTCACCACAGGAACTGATACAGGTCATAATATCAGTACTCGTAACAATAGTTTAAGTATTATAAATCAACACCATATTTATAGATGATCGATTCCCAGTTGGAGTTAACTGGAAGGGGTTACCTGGGCGGTGCTGGTTTTGGTGACTTTAACCAATAAAAAAAATCATAGGTCTTCGTTCAGTTTTGTTGCTCATCTCTTGTGAAGTACAGTTTTTTTTTCTATGATGCGCTGTATACTCATCGTTGTTACTTTTTTACATTGTATCTTCCGTAAATATCTTTGTGAAGACTAGTGATATTCGAATCCGCGTGTATGGTAAGTCCACTGAAATGTTCCACTCGTTCTGTTTTACGTACTCATGTAATGATGGATCCATTCGTTCTGTGGGGTGTTTCTCAGGCCGCGAAAACGCGCCTCGTATGCCTCGAATTACACCCCGTTCTGTTTCATGTTCGCGTATATAATGTATCCACTCGCTCCATTTCACGTTTCTCTTGAAGCTACTTGAGCCTTAGCTACACTTCTTCAATGGTAATAAACACTTGTCACAGCAAATAACGCCAATGCATTTTGAGTTCTTGTAAGAATGCCGAGCAATGCCAATCAATCCAGGTGGGATGTCGGGCCAAAGTTTATCCAGAGAAGACGAGAGCTCGGGCACTTCAAACGCTGTGGGAAGGCACACCCATGCTTGTTGGCTCTGGAGGAACTGTCGCCGGCGCGGTGGCCGTCGTCGCGCTCACCGAATTGCTTCAATAGTACTTTCAATCTAAGAGTTGTTCATGTTGGTTGTGTGAATGTTGTACTTCAACTTCTTCGCATTGTCATAAATATTCATTATGAACCGTATAGATCAACACAAAATGTGCTATAAATTCGATGATTGACGGGATACTATACTATCTACGTAACCTCTCTCAAACATAACTGACCCTATTTAATTTATCTGAAATAGAAGAGAGATATCACGCGGCGTATTTAATGGTGATTCATGTGATACACTGAATCACGCTGAAGCGGCGACGAGCTCAACTTAAACGAGTAGAAAGGGAGATACGGACAATAAAAGAGGGGAGACTGGGCGGACAGTACAGGAAGGATTGGAGGAATTAGGGTCATTTCCTTCTTCAGCAATGGTAATATCACGTATAAGGGACTAGAGGCTTTAATGTTGCTTACAACCTCTTTTGGGTATAAAAACACGCTTTAGTTATAAGAATTGCATAAAACAATAGTAGTCTTACATGTAATACAAAAACGATTTAGAAGAGACACCGCGCTTGAGGCACTCAAGCTTTCATTTCTTGAATTTGCTTGATTAAATACGCTTTCTCATCGTTAAACTGCTCGTCGTCGGTACGTTCGGTATGGAATTGTGCCAGAAAATCGACCTTAAAAATATGTCAATACAGAAACAAATGGTATCAGGCACTTGCCGAATCACAAGCTGTTCAGCAAAATGCGATCATCGTAGTCTCTCGTACCACCACATGCCTCAACATGTTCGACAAACGCTAATTCTGTCACAACTAGGTACTTAGTGGAGAGGATCGTTAGCTCCGAAGTAGTTTGCTAAAATGTGAGCGCGGGGAGGGCTCTTTGTGCAGAATTGGGATTAGAGTATTTACCTTTGCCATCCCGAAGCTGCACCCCCTTGGGTATGGCAGAAGTCCTTGTCCGCATGACGGTACTTTCATTTTTCACTCCAAAAAGAGTCCTATAACTAACCCCTCCCTTCTTGTAGCAGATTTACGCCCAATCCTGGCTGCAAAAGCCTTCACCGCGGGCGAAGAAGAATCAATGGCACGCGATGAACGATGCCGTAATTTTTGGAAGTAACGACCTTCTCCCTGTAGCTGGTAGCGTTCATAATTCACGATTTTAGGTAGCGTTCATACTTCGCGACAGCAGCGGTGATCGCGGCGATCGTTGGTATGCGACAGAGCGCGCCCAACGGTAACTTGGACCGCTCGCTTCGATAAGTGAGGAACTCCAACTTGTGAGACTTTTCTCTCAATAATGGCTACCAACTGAAAACTTACGACTTTCTGTAATCAGGAGGACCAGGAATATGAGGGAAGGAAAGTCTCAACTCTTTTTGAGGACGGGATAAGGGCAACTTCATTTCGTAGGTGAGCTTCTTCTTGATTGCTTTGTTTTCATTGAACTTTTCCAACATGCAAGATATTTATAGTTTACAAATCGAGTTCAAACAACGAAAGAAGGAACAGATAGTGGAGGAGGGAACTTTATAGCGACATGTATAAGCTCGAATAATGAAACAATAAACAATAAAAAACTTATCCCAAATGAAGCTCTCACTTTCTGCTCAATTCTTCTTTATTTTTATGGATCAAAAAAGAAAAATGAAAACTAAAGCCATCAAGCCGGGTCCACCTTTCCTTGAGTAACAAGCTTCAGTACCCGAGACAACTGCAACTGAAAGAAAAAAGCAAGAAATTAAGCCGATTCCTCCTAATAGCACTCGGAGCGGTCCAAGTAATAGCGTTGGGGCGCGCTCTGTCACGTACCGACGATCGCGGCGATCGCCGCTGCTGTCGCGAAGTATGAACGCTGCCATGGTCGAAGTGAAAGCATCTCCAAAAACAAACCAGTGCTTTGGTAGTAGTTCACTGTGTGTACCTTCCAAAGTAGCAATTCCAATGCATTTGAAGACACATGGTACGATCACACATAGTTTGGGTGTGCGTGACTATCAGCCCCCAGCTGTCGAAGCGTAGCGGTTTCCCGTCCTAACATGCGCAGGAATGGAGATACAGGACCGTGAAACACGCTAATTCCTCCATGCTCCGCCCAATACCTTTTGCGGCGCAGACTCCCGTTCATGCTAACAGCCGTCGTAAGCGCGCGTTTTGCCAAGTCCTTAATTGCGCTTTGGAATACAAGTAAAACGCAATTTCCTGATGCGGATAACATTTGAGGTGCTGCAAAATAAGAGCCGAAGATGATGACGAGGGCCAGAACTCAAGAGCAACTGTGCTGCTTCTGCAACATCCTCCAGAGGCCGCTTCCCACACATGAAAATAAAAACGGCCTAAGCGTTCTACTCTAGTTTAATACAAGCAAAACGCAATTTCCTGATGCGAATAACATTTGAGGTGTTGCTCATGCTTCAAAGTCCGAATAGAAGGTGATGAAGATGACAAAGGCTAGAAATGAAGAACAACGAATGTAGATGTAAATAAAACAAAATGAAAAATTAAGGAAACGCAAATTAATTGAAATCGCGTGTAAATTTCCGGCACGAATCCGAGACCAAAGCTTTAGGAATACTTTAAACTAACGGTGGGACGCTTGGGCCGTTTTTATTTTCGTTTCGTGGAAATGCGGCGGTGGAAATGCGCGGCCACCGAGGGATATTGCAGAAGCAGCACAGTTGCTCTTGAGTTCTCATCATCTTCGGTTCTTATTTTGCAGCACCTCAAATGTTATCCGCATCAGGAAATTGCGTTTTACTTGTATTCCAAAGCTCAATTACAGGATTCCAAGGCTCAATTACAGGACTTGACAAAATGCCAAAATAAGAGCCGCACGCGAGTCTGCGCCGCAAGTTGCATTTTGGGCGGAGTATGGAGGAATCAGCGTGTTTCACGGTCCTGTCTCCATTCCTGCGCATGTTAGGACGGGGAAACCGCTACGCTTCGACAGCTGGGGGCTGATAGTCACGCACACCCAAACTATGTGTGATCGAACCATATGTCTTTAACAAAGCGAACATAACCGTCATGTGAATCCCAGGTTGTGAAGGTAGGTTGTGAAAGGGGTAAAGCCATACTACACTTTAAGGATGTTACTCGCACCGCCATTTTAGACATCCCGTGCCCTGTTTTGAAAGCTTCACACGTTCAGCACATCCTGAGACTACCGTCCCAGTCTCATCCCTTCGCATTTTGCACTCGGACAATCAATATTGGGACAATCTGCGTCTGGGCACAGAACTGATTTCGCGTTGCTGAACACAAACCGTACCGTCGAAGCCGTTTCAGAAGTTACATGTCACCTTTTGGCACACTGGATCTCGACTTCAGTTCTGGGCTTTTGCTAAAAGCTTCTCTCATGTCCTTTGACAATGAAGAATCGAGGAACTGGAGAATCGCAGAGCTGGTAGAAAGAAGAATCCCTTCGGAAAGGACTCTTTTAATAGATATGCGTACGCTTCCCTTCAGGAATATTTTCCACTTCCCACGATTCCGCGATTCCCACGCTGTTCCATGTTCCACCGTCAGAAAATACGAAGTCGCCCAACCACTCCATGAGTGCACACACATCGAGTAAATATCACCAAAACAGTCAGTTCTTTCTGATGATCCATCCATTTGCCGAAAAACGATACACTACTACACGTCACTAACCAGTTTTTCCCGATTTCTCAGCAAAATATCAGCAATAGGCCGAGGCTTGTTGGGATTTGCCACAAAAACCTGAAAATGATATGGACATTACCTATTAAAATAGAAAATGAAAGCCCAACCCACTTTGAACACATGGAACGCTTCGAACTGGATACTGCGGCTTTTCTCTCGAAGGAGTTCCATCATTAGCTTGAGATTTTCAGGGTTCGAAATATACCTGGTCATCACGTTGAAATTATGCCGATCCAAAAGGAGTTCGCCAAGCAACTATAACATTATTTATGATATTAGTATTATTGAAGAAAATACGCGAACAAACTTCAATCTACTGTAAGCCTCTGGGGCTGATCGGTAGTCGGAAACTTAGTTACTTAGCCGAACAGCGACGTTCGTTGAGCTTTATCATTGCAGGATTCGCCCACGTGCGCGTCGGAGATATAAGGAGCCGTCGTGACTCATACGGGCTCGTCTTCGCCTGCCGCCACCCGCTCGACTGGATGAGGCCACCAGCCTGTGTATCGTCGCTGCCAGCATGTTTCTACTGTATTCTGACTTACCCCTCATTGGGGTTGCATCTAATAAAGATTAGTGGCTACTCGCGGTTGTACATGCGGATTGGAGGGGAAGGCCTGAGGAATGGAATCCTCAGGCCTATGACTCTACAGAAAACGATCTTTTACTAAGTTGTTCCAAAAGTTCGTGACATTTTTTGAATCTCGTATCAGATCTCTTCCGCAGCCATTTCGAGTCCACTTATGTGGTCTATGGGAAGTGTGTTAGGTA